TTAACTGACCACCACTTTAATGGATCATCCTTCAATCTGATTTGTTTTTATTGCAAATAAAGTACAACTTCATCATTATCTCTTACATTTGTTTCCTTGCTTTTTAATGCTTTGAAAATATCATCATCATCTGAAGAACTAGTAATAATGCTATTAATACTATCTCTAGGTGAAATGTTCTTTTTTGCATCATTATATAATACTTGAACTAATTCTTTAGCTTCATCTTTATCATTGCCATTGCACCAATCAAAGTTTTTAAAACGAGGATCCAGAAATGTTGCAACAAGCATAATATTAGATGGCACCGGCCAAAGCTCATCCAAAGATAAGTAAATAGCTACACGAACTTTTTGTAATAAGCCTTCTGTATTCACTGATTGCAAGTATTCTACAATATTTATATCATCCAAATTTGGTTCAACTGGATGAGATGTGGATGCTCCACCCCTTCTACGACCTCGACCTTGATTTTGTGTATTTCCACGTCTTTGATAATTAAATTGACGATGTAAATACTGCTAATGTTGTCTTATTCCACCTGATAGAATATATTCATCATCACTAACCATTTCAGAATCCTCTTCTTCACCATTTGAACCATAAACTAAATTAAGATACATTTCCAAGGTTTCATTTTTTTCATTAGGTGCAAAGTTATTTTTGAGTATATAAGTATATACATATATGGAACAACAAGGCTTAATGTTGGATATTTTGCACCACTAATTTTGCGTGTTATAGTTTCAAAAAATTCTAAAGTAATGACCATTTGTTAGAGAAATCTATTGTAAAAGTATAAACATTAATAAAAATTTAAATTTGTATAGAAAAGATAAACAAACTGAAAATTTACATTTTTTCATCTGGGGTTAAACATAATCGCTTCAATTTTTCACCTTCTTTTTGTGATGCTCAATCAGATTTTGAAAGTAAATCTGTAGATATACTTCTCATAAAATTATGCAACTCAAGAACTCGCTTCCATGCTAAATAAGTTGAATTCCACCGAGTTTTGCCATCTGTCAAAACTTCTAGTGGATTCACATATTCATTTTCAGATGAATTTGTTTGAGGATTCTGTCGTGCTGCATGAAGTTTTTCTACTTGTTTAGGTAAGCGAAAAAAGATCTGTAAACTTTTTATACGACGATGAAATGCTTTACATTGCTTCAAACCTTCTATTACTGAAAGTTGCAAAGTATGTACAACACAAGATTGGTGTTGAATTTGTTCAAGATAGTTTTCTCTTAATAAACGAACAGCTTTTACCATATTCATGCTATTGTCAGTGGCTATTGTAAAAGCTGTTGTAGTTAAATCCCAATTTTCTAATATTTGAAACAATTCGTCACAAATAACCTCACCAGTATGAGGATAAGAAAGGTGATTGCATGACAATAAAGCTTTTTGGAATTCAAAATCTGAAGTTAACCATGTTGCAGTTACACAAATATAGCTATACCGGGATTTGGATGTCCAAAGATCAGTTGTTAAATGTACTGCTACTGCTGTGTTTTTTAACAAGAACTGAAGTTGCTTTTTACTCCAAGTGTATGCTGAATAAAGCACATTTTTAATAGAATTATCACAAGAGATTTTATAACTCGGCTCACATGTCAATAAAAGATCTTGAAATGCTTGGTTTTGTAGAATGTATAAAGGTTGGACATTCTTGACAATAAAAGTAGTAACTTTTCTGGTAATTAGTTCTTGTCTTTTAGTAGAATATGGTGATGAATTAAGATTTGTGTGTTCAACACATGGCTGTAAGATAATTAATATAATCCATAAGTTTTTTTGTATATATCATATGATTTAATTATAAATTAAAATACCTCTTCACTTTCATCCAGGTATTCCAAATAATTATCCTTCGTTATTTCATGTTTATCCCTTAAATGGTTTATTAGGTTAGTTGTATTCCCACTTTTCCAGCTATAGCCATAAACTTGTTTATTTGTATTTACATAATTTAATTCACAAATTTTACAATAAGCAAATTCTCCTGCTATACGAAAAAAAAATAATGTATGGCTGCAGTTTTTTCGGGTTGATACAGTTTGGCGTTGATTTTGTGTGATTGTGTCACCATCAGATATTGTGGAATTGGTGTCATCAATTGTTTCAGAATCAGAAAATGTAGATGACGAGCTTGACATTTTTTTAAACTATTAATAGTAAAAAAAAAATGTTTAAGTTTTTAGGATGCAAATTGATATAATAGTTAAAATACCGTGTGAATTTATTTTCATGAATTATTTTCATGAGAACTATTTAATTATGATGTAGTTTATTGCGAAATAATTAGTAGCAACCTGTTCCAAATCTGGTTCAAATATAGATCGCAGTATAATTTCATAAGTTAATTAAATAAAATCAGAATGTGATTAACTTTGTATTTATTTACCATAATTATCACAATATAATTATCACAATAAATATAAACCAGATGCACAAATCGGTTTTAACCGATTTTGTAAAAACCGGTTTGAAAAGGGTCAAACTGGTTGCACCCGTTTTAAATTCAGTTTTTGAAAATACAACCGGTTCCAAACTCTAGTTTATGTATTTGATATAATGGGAAATAATATTAAAAATATTATTGAAAAAAGGTGGAAAAGTATTTACCACCCTGTTATGGAAGTTGCGTATCTACTTGATTCATCATTTTATAGATGTCACCTTACTTCTCATTCAATAAATATAATTTCACAATTTATCTAAAAGTATTATTCAGATAATACAGCAATTATTTGGATTCAAATCTTGAATTATAAGAAAAAAAATGGAGTTTTTATGAATACACTTGTTTAGAAAACTGCCAGTAAAGTTGATTCTATAACTTGGTAGTGTAGAAATTTTAGTTATTCTACATCTGAACTTACTCAAATAGCAAAAAAAATTCTATTTATTCCAATATCATCTGCTACATCTGAAAGAAATTGGTCAGTATTTGCATATATTCATGATAAAAAACAAAACTGGCTGAAAGCTGATTGTGTCTTAAAATTAGTATATATTTTTAGTAATTAAAATACAAATACCACAAGAAATGCCAAAATGGAAAAAACTTACAAATGAGTTGAATAAAAATATTTTGTTAAATAGTAGTGAAAGTGAAGAATAGAGTTTTAATAATAATGAAACTGAAATAAAGTGAAGGACTATATATATTTATAAATTTTAATATATGATACTAAATAAAATATTTTTTTTTATAACAAACTGGAATAGTAAATATATTTTTTTTTTTAATTGATTTTTTATTTTTTTAAAAAAAACATCAAGTTTTTTATATACACTGAATTTTAAAAGTAAATAAAGAAAAGGATTTTTTTTATTTATTTGATTTTAAAAAAATAATATTTCTAACATTTCATTTTTAATTTTATTTTCTAAAGATGCTGAATTTTTATATATATTAGATTTTAAAGAAAAATAGAAATTTTTTATTTGTTAACTTTAAAAAAATATTTTTAATGTTCTAAGACTTTCAGATTTCTTGTATATACTGGATTTTAAAGGTAAATTAAAAAGAAAAGGGTTTTTTAAAACTAAAATAAAGGTTATTATAGAAAATTAACCCTTTACTAATAGTTTTTACCTTACTTTTTTCTTAAATTCTATTGGTTAATTAGCTAAAAAGTAAAAAAATCATAACAATGTAATATAAATTTTTTTTTATAGTAGGATTTGCAAAGAATTTTATATATGATTTTTATCTTAGACCTGGGGTAACCTATCTTATAAGTAAGCGAAAAATATTTCTAATATTTTATTTTTTATTTTTTTTTAAAAAAAACATTGGTTTCTGTATATATCAGACTTTAAAGGCAAATAGGAAGAGATGCTTTTCTTATTATTTATTTGATTTTAAAGAAACATTTTTAAGTTTTAATATTTCATTTTTATTTCTTTTTTAGGATTTCAAATTTCTTGTATATACTGAACTTTAAAGGTAAATTGGAAAGAAGAAGGGTTTTTTTATTTGTTTAACTTTAAAAGAAATGTTTCTAATATTTTATTTCTTATTTTAAAGTAAATTGGAAAGAGCAGGTTTTTTTATTTATTTGATTAAAGAGATGTTTCTAATGTTTTAACTTTATTTTTTTTGTAGAAATATAGTTTAAACTTAATTGTTTTTTTATTTTGTTTATTTAATCTTAAAAAGTATAAAAGAAAGTGTTTAAAAAAATAAATAAGCAACAATTTTTGTACAAAATTTTTTGCTTTGGACTTATAATGGTTTCTGTTTCCTAGTTATAGGAATATGTAAATTCATGTAATCTTTCCTTTTACAAGGAATACCATTTTCTTTGAATATAATAATTTAAAAAATAAAAATTTTACTATAGAAATATATATTATAAAATTTATACTTGTTATAGTAAATATTATATGAATTGTTGGATATATTATTTACAAATTACATTTAAATACAAAATTGATGATAAGTGATAACAATAAAATTATTTGTATAAGGAATTAAATTTACAAGATTATATTATGAAATGCCAAGTTATTATCAGATAAAGAAATTATAGGTATAATTTGAGCAAAAAAGAATGTAAAAATTAGAAATAATACTTGTTTAAAATTTAAAGGAAACTTTTTTTGTATTGATATAAAAGTTTACTATAAAGAAAATCTCTCGTTTTTGTGAATATTCGTTGTAGTAAAAAAAATTTGCTGAAACCGAATAAATGGATAGCTTTAGGCGGTAAATTTAACTTTGCCTATTCTACACACGTGATAATGTTGAATACACGATCAAAATAAATATCAATGATGGATACGCGAATTTGTCACGTATAATTCGTATGTATTTATTTACGTATTCTTTTCTAATTGAAAGCAAATTTTGCAATATAACAAACATAACAAACATAAAAATATTCACAGCTCGTGTTCAAAAAAACTTTCTAGTGAGCTTACACGAAAAAAGTTACAAAATGGAAGACAAAAACAAGTTTAAAGCGCCTTCGGTAAAAATTGGACCTATGACTGAATCATACACGTATCACTCGCCAACACCAACAATACTATTGGAAACACAGAAACCCTGCATTCTTGGCGTAGACGAAGCTGGTCGAGGACCAGTCCTTGGTCCTATGTGCTTTGGGGTTGCTTATTGTGCAATTTCCGAATATGAAGAATTGATAGACGAGGAATATAAAGACAGCAAAAAGTTGGACGAAAAAAAAAGAGAATTATTACTTCAACGTATTATTAATAATCAAGATAATGTTGGGTGGGGAGTACGTTCTTTGTCACCTCAAGACATTTCAACAATGACTATACGTGATAAAATTAATCTCAACGCACAATCTCACTCTTCCACTATACAACTAATACATGATGTCATAATTACTGGGGTAAACATTAAAAAAATTTATGTTGATACGGTTGGACCACCAGAAAAATACAGGAATTTACTCGCAGCACAATTTCCCCAACAGGAAATAATTGTTGAGAAGGCTGCTGACGATAAGTTTCCTATCGTTAGTGCAGCAAGTATTTGCGCAAAAGTAACTCGAGACCATATTTTAAGAGATTGGTGTTTTATTGAAGAAAATTTAACTGATCCCGACTTGTACAAATATGGTTCCGGTTATCCCAATGAAAAAACCAGACTATGGCTAGAAAGGAATGTATATCCTAATCTTTTGGGCTTTTATCCTTCGATTGTAAGATGGCATTGGAAACCTGCCAGACAAATCCTTTATAATAAAGGAATGATTTCCCTTAGCCAAATTGATAATCCGACTTGGCCAGACCTTGAAAATACAGCTAACAAAGACGATATAACTAGGACAAAAACTAATCTTGTGAAACAAAAAAGAAAGTTGGTGTACGGCGGAAAAGGGAAAAAATCAATTGAAGGAGGGACATCTACACCTTCAATTAGAGAATATTTTGCAAAAAAAACCTAATACTAGCTTTGGAAGTGGTTTAAATGACAAAGATTTTAAAAAAGTGAATTTGCTCCTTATAATTGATTAAGAAATTTTACATAATTAAAATTAAGTTTACTAAAATACTCAAATTCCAAAACTGGTTGTGATTAAATATCGTAACCATTTGCACCACGATTCTTCACGTTCTTTTTCCCTTTTTTGTGATGTTTTTTAGCAGATGATATTAAAACAGATGGTGATCCACCTTCATCATTTGGTTTTCCATCATCATTGAGTTTATCGTGGATAGAATATAATTTGACTCTGCTAAATTCACCTGCGTATTTCCCTTTAATTTTTGGTAATTGTGCTCGATTGCTGAAAAATGATTTATCAAAGGCTCGAGATTTTCTACTAACATTTATTTCTGTAAATGATTTTGACATATCGTCTTCATGTGTTATAGTGGATGAAGGTGGTAACGTCTTTTTTGTATATAATTTCAAATTATGTAATTCAGCGTTGAATTCCAGCGGAGATATTTCAGCTAATGGTGGATGACAAAATGGAAGTTTGCCCTAAAATCAAAAAAAAATTTAATCTTGAGAAAATAATAAAAAGAGTAAATTCGAAATGGCAAACTACATTAACATAATCTTTAAGTATGTAACGTGCTGCTCGTGATTCGTCAAGATTACCGTGTCCCGACTTCGTGAATCCTCTCGCACCTAAATTAAAAGACTGTGTTAGTGGTTATTAAAGAGAATTTTATCCAAGCCAAAATTGTATAACTCTCAGTGCAAATTGTAATTCCGACAAAAATTATGTGATTTCCTGTATTGGCTTGGAGCGGTTTACCAAACCTTACCTGCATAAGCAACCAACAATTCTTCTGCTGTTGGTATACCATTTCCACCTTCTTCTGGTGATTTGGTGCAAATTTTGATACCATAAACAACTTCAAGAACGGATTTAGGTATTCGTTGCACAACCAACGCTACAGGACCAGTATGTTCCCTTAATTGATCTATCGGCAACACTCCATTGCAGACCATATCAGCATTTGTAGTGGCAAAATTTGGGAATACTAATCCGGGACAATCACATAATACTAATGAAGGTGAAAGATGAATAGTTTGGAAATGCTTTGTCTTTCCCGGAGTTGATGAAACTGAAACTCGTTTTTCTCCAAGTAAAGCATTTATTGTCGATGATTTGCCAACATTTGGATATCCAACTAAACCAATTGTTAGTTTCTTATTGGGATCAGCAGAATCTATTATGGAAGGTACCGTTAATTGCTTCCAATTTAATGGTCATTAATTTATATTTAAATATGTACCTTTAATATCCTGAGCTTCAGCAACTAATAAAGAAACTAGGTTAGTAACTGTTTTAATTCGTACTTTTTCATTATCATCTACATTGTGCTCAGAGTTTAGATCTTTCTTAGGTAAAGTTTTAAAATTGATGTATGCGTCATCTTCCGAATCCTCATCTTTACATGAATTTTTCACATTCTGCTTTAAATATAAAACAAATTAATAAAACATTATTTATATTAGCATATAGTAAGTATACGAAATATTTGTTTTACCTTTTCAGAAGACCATTTAGTTGTTGATTTGCTTCCATCATTACTGTTATCCTGAGATTCAAGTGTACTATTATCAGCATTCATCACTTCTGATTGTTCTTTGTCAAGTTTTTCTTGTGCCAGAAAAGCAGAAAAGAAAATGTATCGAATACCTTGTGTATCAAGATAATCTGCCCAGGCACGCCTTATGAAGAAATAGCATAATTTACAACGTGGTTTCGATTGTTATATACTGAAGTGATGATAATTTTGTTCACGCACCTTTGATTAGCACTTAATAGATCCGCTTTATTAATTAATAACAAATTCTTTTTTTTTTCATTAACTTCTTTAACATATTTTTCTAAATCCTTTGATCGAAAAAACAGTGGGTTTCTTGCATCAACAATTTGTACCACCAAATCAGATCTTTCGATTACGCGCCACAATTGACGCCATACTTCTAGATTACGTTCAAATGGTGTTAGAAGAAATTCGTCTTGTTCTTGGAGACTATTAACAAAAATTTAGTATTCAAATGGATTAAGACAATGTTGGCATTTATTGCAATAAAATGTGCTTGGGATTATTAATGATTACATACAATGCTAAATCACGTCTCCACTGTAAAAATGCATCCCTTTCATTTCGTTCTAATTGACTAGGAGTAGTCGTTTTATCCCATTTTGGCCTAACAAAATCACGATATAACTCAGTATTTATTTAGAAAAATTATTTTTATTCTTTTAATATACCTTCTTGGTATTACTAGTCTTTCTATATTAGCTTCTTGTCTTGCTAAAACTTCCTTTTCCTTTTCAGCACTCAGAAGAAAAGGATTGTGGTAAGTGTTTGTTACCACCTTGATATTTAACTTTTCTAATTAGAACAAGAATCAATATAAATAATTTAATTATAATTAACTTCACGTTCAGTTTATAATATTTGGAATTACTCTATAATACCTTGCCATTAAGCATTAAAAAGAAATGTCAAAAAATTACCAGCGGTAAATTGAGTTCCTGCTAATTGAGCTGTACTCAAAAATTCATCCAAATCACGCTGTTGAGTTATAGATCGTAATTTTGTCCAACTCGCACCATCATCCAAATCTGTGGTATGCTATTTTTAATTGATACAATACTTTGAATTTTATATCTGTAAGTTTAAAATACGAATTAATATTGTTAATTATAAATACCAAGAAAGTATCGCCGTCTTTTGGCCTTGTATTCCCCTTAAATCGATCTCTGATAATTGCTTTTCCAAGCCCTGTATCTTTTTTTGATTTTGGACGCATTTTATTTTAATAATAACAGGAACAATTTAGTTTTTTTTTTTTTGATCTAAAAAAATTTCAATTTTTATTTGCAAATTGTGTAACTTTAATTACTATTTGTAATCGGCGAGCTGAAAATTTATTACTAATGCTCACGAATATTCAAGTTTTTTAAAACCCAAACACAAGTTTAGAAGAGAAAAAAGATGCCTTACAAAGTTTTACCAATTCCGAGACTATTTTTTACAAAATGTATCATTTATAATGAAAATGTGATTCTAACAAGAGTCTATTCAATTTCAAGCATTTCAAGCAGTAAGAAACATGATCGTCGTTATGTTACAACTAACGACAAACTTAAAGATTGGGCAACAATACCTTCACCAACACCATTTGATATTTTCGCGTTACCAAAAACAGCGTCCGATGAAGAAATAAAAAGCAGATATTATGAATTGGTTAAAATATATCATCCAGATAAAAACTGTGATAAATCACCGGAACGATTTCGAAAAATAGTGAAAGCATACGAGATTTTAAATAATAAACATAAAAAAGAAATGTACCTTAGATTTGGAGTTGGATGGGATTCACCCACAGTTATAACCGCCGCTACTTCATCCAATGTATCTAATAGAAGTCGATTTTCTAATCATGCTTATTATCGAGAATGGAAAGAATATGATGATACGTATAAGGGTGAGTTTTCTAAAACAGAAAGATTTATGTCTAACCCTTATTTCGCAGCATTTGTAATTACGGCAACGTTATTTGGAGTAGCGATTCAATATATGAGATTAGAGAGTTCTATGGGGTGGATTAGAGCTGCTGAGGAAAGACATCACCTTAAAGCAGCACATTATTTAGCTTCTGCAAAAAGAGAAAGTCAACTATTCGGAAAACGAAAAAAAGCAGAAATGATGTTGGATTTACTTCATACTAATGGAGTTAAAGACCAAAATGTGTGTAATAGTGCAAGTATATTAAATTCCTTGATAGAGTAGAGTAATAGTATAAATCACGTGATTGCTGTAAGTTTACAAAGTTTAAAAATCCCATAATTGTTTAAATTATTTATAAATAACAAATTCAAACAAAAATTTTGCCATATTGGTTTGATGGATAGATTCACCTCTCTTCCTATTGTTTTGACATTAGATGCTAGAGAGTAGGTAATTTATCGATTGACACATAAGGAAGCACACAGTATAAGTAGTGGTGTATATTTCCAGTCAACGAACCAACTACTAAAGCTTGAACTTTTAATGTACTTGAGCTTTGAGCTTTCCTCTTGGTTAGTTCGGCTTAGTTGAGCATAAAAGCTTAAGAGCGTTGTATATTCCTTGTCTTTTCTGAATTCAATCTTATCACTATGTGATATTGACTGTTGAGAAAAACCATACGACGAATATTTGCAAATTTGTAATCAAACATGAAGGAGAAAATAATTACCGAATATAGTAATCATATACGTTGAATAAGAATTAAAAATTCTGTCATTACAATAGCATACAAATTAACCTATTATGTTTAAATGTATTTATAAAATGAAAATCTCATTTTACGTTATATAATAAATAAATTCATTTCAAATGTTACTTAACCGTTTTAAAATTCTATCATTATCGGTTCAAAGAAATATTTTTGTTCATCGTAATTTAATTCCATTATCACAATTCCATCATTCTAGTAATTTGTCAGATAGAAAAATGTCAAAAGAACGTTCAGAAGATGAATGGCGTGTGATTTTATCACCAGAACAATTTCGTATAATTCGACAAAAAGGAACCGAACCACCAGGTTCTGGTGAATACAATAAATTTAAAGGAAAAGGTAATAATAGTGATATATATATATATATAACGATTCAATTTCTTTTATTAATAAAGTATAACAAAACAACAGGAATTTATAACTGCGCTGCGTGTGATACACCACTTTACGTTTCTGACACCAAATTCGATTCAGGTTGTGGTTGGCCTGCATTTTTTGAATCCATTCCCGGTAAAATTAATTTTCATCATTCATAACTTTAATATTGTTCAAATTGTTTATTTTTCTTGATAAATTAGGTGCAGTAAATAGTAAAGAAGACAATTCATTAGGAATGAAAAGAACAGAAATTACATGTGCTGCATGTGGTGGTCACTTAGGTCACGTTTTCAAGGTATTTATTTATTTATTCATAAAAAATGTTATTGCTAGTTTTGGTTATATTGAAAAAGTAAATGATTTATTTATTTAGGGTGAAGGTTGGAAACATACACCTGCTGATGAACGACATTGTGTGAATAGTGTCAGTATTAAATTCAGCCAAGAAAACAAAGAATAAAAATACTTTTGGCTATCTATTTTCTGAATAACAATACTTATTTTAATAAATAAAGTATATTAAATCGAAATTAGTGAGAACATAATATTAAATCACATGATGCAGTTTGATTATCTTTATCTGTAATTGTCTTTATTGATTCTTCCTTGTCTCCTAAAATGATCTTTAACGCCTCAACGGCCAACGATAATCATGATAACTTTTTCGATTTCGAAGCTAGGAATTATCTAGAAAGCGTATATTATTAATAACACCAATATGTCTATAATAAAATAAAATAAAATGGAACTGATCTACCTCCGAACCATTAAATTGTTTCACTTTCAACAACGATCTGTAACAATTGGCATGGACCACTGCATATTATGAAACAATTTAATGCAAAAGAAGTATTCATTATTATTTGACTATTTTGCCGGAATGATTGGAGTCGTATGACAATCATATTTTTCATAGATAACATAGATAATTTAGATAATTTTAATTTTGAAATAGATGAGAAATCCGCAGAAAAAATTTTGATCAAAAATCATAAATTTTATGCTTAAATATTTTACTAATTTTTTTTAATTTTTACCGGAATTTATCAAAAATTATATTAGATAATTATAAATATGTCATAACGAAACTATTATTTAAATTTTTTTTTTAAAAAAAAACAATTCTCTAGAAAAAATGAAGTAAAAAAAAAAATAATAATAAATATAATAAAAAGCTATTGAATTAAAAAAAAAAAAACTTTCTCTTATAAAAATTCAAAATATTTACTAAAAAAATTTATAAATGTATATATATATATATAACGATACAGACTAATTCAAAATACATCAAAATTTACTATCTAAACCTACTTAATGAGTAAATTTTTTACTAATAAAAAAAACATCATCCTCTCTCTCAAATAAAAAATAATTAATATTGTTACTGATGTAAAAAAAAAAAGAAAAATAAAATAAAATAAATAAATTAAGTTTCAAACTAAAAAAGGGAACTTCTAGCTAAATATTTTATTTCTTAACCAAAAAGAAAAGAAATGAATTATTGTTAGTAACAATTTGTTTCTCATTTTTGAAAAACACCAGGCTAAATATTGATAATGATCACAAATTGCCACTACAAAAAGTAAGAAATAAAAGATGGGATGAATAAAAAAAATGTAGTAATGAAACTAAATTCAGAAAATGTACGTAACAATACATATAAAAAGTTGATATTTCTTTTTATTCACGAAGATAAGACAACAAACTTTTTTTAAAAAAATCGGGGATAAAAAGGAAATAATATATAATTGATGTAAACAATATCTTAAAATTTTCTATCAATAAAGTTTTTCAAGATAGTCCATAACAATAACCTGAATAATGAGATGTGTTCCTTTATTTAATGGAACATGAAAATGAATCGATAAAGTAAAAATAACTAAAATAATCAGTATATAATGTTCATTTGACTTCAAATTGTAAAACATATATATTTATTTGCACCTGTTATTAACACTCAATCAACAAAGCTCCGGAATACTTTGACAAACGTAATAAGAAATTTGAGATACTGATTAAAGCCTATTATGGATCTCCCAAAGCTTCTTTCAAAATTTCACATCGTCTTTCAAATATTCTCAAAGCATCTTCCTTCTCCTTTCTAGACATTTGATCTACGAAAGATTTGAACTTGGATTCATCGTTATTATCAAATTGTGGCGTAAGGAAAGCAGAAAGAACAGGATTTTGATCTTTATGTTCATCCGTTGTATCTACCTGCATCTGTTGTTGTTGTTGACGGCGTTCTTCCATCAGAATTTGTTCTCGTTGACAAGTAGCAGCTGTAGCCAAAGTTAAAAGAGCAGGTGCAATATGACTTGGCGACATAATCATTGGCATTATAGGTCGTTGATTAGGAAGAATAGTGTGATATGTAATAGATTTATTTGAAGACATCGGACTTCCGTTCAATGAATTTATGCCATCAATAGAATCTTCAGTATTATGACCATCTTCAATATGGCCATATTTGTTCCAATCGCGACGACGACGTTGAATTTTTGACTTACGCATAGCGATAGGACGGTCTCTATTATGCAATTTAGCATACAATCCACAAGCATTACACAATGGTTGTCCTTTATCATTCTTTCGCCATAAGGGTGTTTGTGTTTGGCCACAATTAGCACATTGAATTTGTATATCAGCCATCGTTGATGATATCGTTGATGGTGCTATCGTGGTAGATGGTGCAGGTGGTATAGTTGAAGGATGTAAAGATGGAGGTGGTAAGGAAGATGTATTTGGTAAGGCTGTTGATGGCATATTTGCAGGTCTTATGGTTGGCGATGCAACGGGTGTGGATGTCTGCGTTACAGTCGGACGCATATACGTATTTTCAGAAACCGCTGATATTGAACGGGTAGGTGTTGGTGTTCTTGTCGGTGAATCGATGGATCCTAATTCTGGTGCTACCTCTTCACCATTTGATTCCTGCCCTAATGGTTGTTCCGAGGATGACTGGTCAGAATAATCTTCCATAACAACATCAGTATCATCTTCAGTATCCTCATCTTCATCATCGTCTTCTTTTGATGCGGGTAAGATATAAGGATAAGATTTTGCTGACGTTGTTCTAGTTTTATGTATAATATGTAAAGGTCTATGAACATGATACTGTTTAAAATATAACCCACATGCATTACAAAGTGAATGCATTCTATCTGGTGTTCGACGCCAGAGTGGTGTATTTTTTATACCGCAATTATAACATTGAAGTTGACGAGGAGGTTTAGCACCATGTCTTTTTGATTCTCTATGACTTGAACTAGCACTGCCATCAGCTGATTGTGTTCTTGAAGCTTGGTCTGAAACAAGAGCTGTTGTAACTGACTGAAGTGCTGTGATATGTGTATCAAACTCACTAGGAGTTGGTGGTGTAGTAGATATTGGCGTTGTTTGCGATGACACAGTCTCAGTAGAAACGGAAGAATCGGCAGAGTTACGACGAGACGAAGCGACTATATAAGAAATCAGCATCTAGTGTCAGATTATTACTATTTGTTTCTTTTGTTTTTTAAATAAATAATAAAAAATATAACTCACGACTTGGGTATTGGTCCATTTCTTCGTTTTATTCAGCTTGAAAAAGTAGTAGGTGCTAACATCTCGTTATTGTAAAGAAAACACAATGAAAATACCTTGCATAATAATAAAGAATAAATACTTACCAGACTCTTACCGGTAAAGTACTGGAGGAAGAAAATTTAAAAAAATGCTTTAAAACTAACTAATAGTGAGAGAAGTAGTTTATAAAGTTAAAAGTCTAAATGTTAGTTTTTGGTATAGGGTGGCAAGGACATTGTAGAGTTGAGAGAAAACAAGAACCAGCAGATTTGTATACTGCTTCTAGTTGATCGTATGGTTCCATCAGATCATTGTTTCCACAAATCTCTTTGTGCACTGCCCAAAATCATGTATACGTCATCAAATCGTGGCGATTAGCGATTGGAATAGCCAATCAAAATTCACGAATCTATCCGCAGATATATAACTGATATCAATAATAAAAAATCGGGCATGATCATTTTCTTGAACTCCGAGTACTATAGTGAGTAAACTGCGCCCATTGCTCATTTTTCCCACTGAACATCTCAAGATATTTTTTACGTTTGATGATAAAATCATTGGTTATGAAAATTATCATTGATAAATTATTCAATAGATTTAAGTAATTATCATTTAACCTAATTAGGTTAGACTCCTCATTATGTAGTTGGTTTTTGAAACAAAAAATTATGATGTAAAAATTAAATCACTTTTATTATATACAATAAATCTAAAAATACTTTTATAAAATCTTATATATATATATATATATATATATATATATATACATATACATTATGTAAAGTCAACCTTTTTTAATGCCCTGGAATCAATATATATTGATTTTCGAAAATGTGATTAACCATAATTGTACCAATTAACACAAAAAAAAAGGACAATTTCATATCTCGGATAAAAAAACAAAATGAAAATGAAATTATTTCTTAATTCGCTTTTCCGTAGTGTCACTTTGGATTTCTTTTTAAATAAAAAAGTCATATTTGCAAATCTAGCCATTATTTTCTAAATTAATTGATTTGATTACCTATAATCGCGTAAAAAAGTAAAAGTTGATTTACTTTGTATTTTTTGAGGATGTATACAAAAGTTTTATTTTTGAGGGGAAAGAATTTCAAGTATTTGTATTTGTATAGTTTATATTTATTTAGTATTGATCTTCATTTTATTTATTATCTTTGATAACTTTGAGAATTTAAACTGTATACTTCTAACAAAAATTATATAATCGTTCCGGTCACCTGGTATGGAGTGTACTCTTACTTTTCACGATCAACGATTTCGTTCTTACTTTCTTTACCAATTTTCGCATTCATCAGTCGAATCGCGTAAAAGTTCTAAATTAAAATGAGCGTCAAAAGAAAGTTTACAACCGATTTCCCTGTAACAGCAGTTAAACCTGACGATGAAAAAGATGATCAGAATGGCTTTCTCAACGTTAGAGATAGGTATATATATATTTTAGATCTTTATAAAACTCCTTATTTTGAAGTTATTCAAAGTTTACTTACACTTATCTGATTATTGATAGTGGTATATTACTACCTGCTTTACGATTCTCTCGAGAAAATAATTTAAAAGCTTCTTTTACAAAATATTCCGTTCAAAATAAAATCTTTTTTCGTCCAGATTTACCTGAAAATTCCCTCCCAATTCCATATACAGGTCTTCTTGGAACTTGTACTTTATCTATAGGTCCATTTTTATATTTGGATACTCAAATTTATGAACTTTTATTCGTTAGTCAGCAAATTCTCCTTGATCAAAATCAAACGCAAGACGCGTCACATTCATTTTCTCAACAAGTTCATTCACAAACTCAACAACAGAATCAACAACAAACTCATCAATTTTTTCAACAACAACCTCAACAACTAGCTTTTACAACTGTACATCACACACCACAAGCACAACCAACGTTTGGTCAAACATCATATCCCACAATAAGACCTTTAGCTCCCGCTCCAATCATGACAAATTTACAGTCGTCCCCTCAATCATCTTCTCGTGTATATAAACAACCTGCAATACAACCACGACCACAACCACAATCACAAGTATCTCAGGTACCTCAATTAACACAAGTGATATCTCATCCTCAAGTTCAGCAGCGAATGCCTATACCGCGTTTATCTTCACAACAACCTAGAACGAGCCCAACAATCAGTTCTTCATCATCGTCTTCAAATAATTCTGTTAGATTCTCGCCTCAATTGACAAGTGTTATGCAAACGTTACTTCAAACCTACAATCCAGCACAGATATTAGCAATACAAAAACAATTATCTCAGCCTGAGACAGCACCTAACTTATCGCAAGAACAGAAAAATGCTTTAATTAATCATCTAAGTTATCTGTTAGCATCACAATCCAACACTTCATCTCAACCTCTTGCTGCACCTGTGTTGCATCAACGTCCTAATTCTCATTCAATTTTATCGAAGACTACACAATCGCAACAATATCAATCGGGACAATTCTTACTTTCACAAGATCAGACTTCGGAGAAACATCGTCCAGTTCAACCATCTTCCGAACAGCAGCAACCAACTTCATTACCTAATGAGCAAAATCAAATGATACAATCAGATTCGTTAACTGAGCAAAATCGGGAGATTCAATCGCTATCGTCACCAGAACGACAAACAACGACATCTTCACAAAAACGTAATGTTTTCCAACAACTTAGTCCATCTTTAGAAAATCATGTGGAAGTTGAACTTCCTTTACAGAAAAGACAAACGGTTAACTCATTGTCCTCGCAGAGAATGTTAGTAGCTACTGAATCTGCTCATTATGCAGCACTTAACAAGTTTAAAATATGGAATCAACCTGCAGAAATTCCCGCATCTACTGCATATGAACATGCAGTGAGATGCGAGGTAATTTTAACGTTTAAGGAAGATCGAAAAACTAGATTTTTGTTTCCCAAAGATGCTATTATTGAGCGTAATCCAGAAGGCGATGATAATTTTTACGAGGTAAATGGGAAAACTTAATTTTATTTAGTATTATTAATTTATTAATAAGATATATAATAGGTTATTGCAAGTTATGTTTCGCCATCTGATGAAAATGACGTGAAAAGATCTCGTGATAACCCAGAAGAATGGGAAATTAGCATAAAATCGGTAACTGAAGAGATATGGAACGCGTTATATAGAACTGTAAATGATGAAGATACGGTCGAACGTTTAATGGATGAAAAGGTACGTTGTTAATCTTAATCGTATTGCATCCTATTAATCCGAAGTAATCTAAAAAAAAAATTTGTTATATTTCAAGCTTAAACGTAAATGTAAAGAACGTTACTTACAAATGCGCGTTCCTCGTGACTTTAATAGGGAAAAAATAAAGGTATATTGAAAGAAAAATTTAATTTACTATCGAGGATTTTCATAATTTTAATTAAATATATCTTTTTAATCTTTAAGAAATATCAAAAAACATGGACAACAACGATACACGTTAATGAAAGTAAAACAGTAGACGAAGTAATTGATATTGAAAAAAAAACTGATGATTCAGAGATAGACGTGGATATCGATATTACAGTTGGAAGGAAAAGAGGAAAACGAAAAGCTCCAGGACAAAAAAGGACAGCATCTGTAAGTAATTTTATTTCTCATAATATTTTTAAAAGGGGAAATTTATTTTATTCAGAAATTAATATTTTTATATTTTTAAAAAAAACTATATTTCTTTTTAAGACAGTTGCCAAAAAAGTCAGAAAAACAAAAAATACTTCTAAAAATGATAGTATGAATTTATTTATTTCGACATGGTGGTAATATAATTTATGGAATTTTAAATTTATTAATCGTATTTTTTTTTTATCTAGCTAGTAAAAAAACAAAGTCTTCTACAAACACGTCAAAAAAATCGAGATCCGTTCTTGATCCAACTGGTACTGTAGAACCGAGCTCTGAAAAGAAAAATTGTATGTACTGTGGTGCAAGATATACTCCAATGTGGAGAAGAGGACCTAAAGGGCCAGGTAAATCTTAATGATTTATCATAACACTTAAAATTTTACACGTGTTAAAACATAACAACATTATTATTTAGGAACTCTCTGTAACGCATGTGGAGTAAAGTGGAAACAAGGAAAAATCATAATCGAAGAAAGCCCAGATGATGATACTGAGCCTAATAATTCCATACCAGTCGTTCAACCTTCTAAATCAAGGAAATCATCGATTTCTGCCGGAAAGGCTACTGCACATTCTTCACCTGCAAAGCCAGGAAAAAAACCTAATAGGTTACTTTCATTTAACGAAGATGCAATTTCACATACAGATGAAGATGAAAATCGTGCTGAAAAAACTCGGGTATCACGCAGAGGTTCTACCACAGGAACACCTAAACGTGGTAGAAGAGCTTCATCATCGTCAAAGAAAGGTGCTATTCTTCATATTTTCCATTTACTACCTTGATTATATTGTATTCGAGACATTATTTTCATCTCGATATTTAGGTATAGACCTGTCTCTTATACACATCTAGATGTGTATAAGAGACAGGGTATAGACAGAGCACAAATATCAGGCAAATATAGGTTTAGTAGATATTTATGCAACATTTTTTTTTTTATCGATAATACTTAGAACCTGAATCAGTTCCGGAAACTCCTGTTTCTAAACCTAATTTTACGCCATCTCAAAATTCATCGGTATTCCCTATGGAACTTGCAATTACTTCAATTTCATTTGGTCCTGGATTGGCAATTTTTTCGGAACCCGATTGTTACGTAACTCTCGAAAAAAATAAAATATTAATTGGCTTAAAAAAAGATGGCCACGATCCAACGGAAATCGAAATCTGGAAAAATTATATAGATGACATCAATTACTCTGTCGAGAAAGATTTGTCGACAGGATATCCAATGTTAGAGGTAACAGTGAATATAGGACAATATATTACTAGGTAATAATTTTAATAATAATAATGACGTTATAATGATTGTTATAGTGATTAAAGACTAATATAAAATTTCTCTAGGTTCGACATGGTAATACTTGACGGAGAACATTCCTCTGTTGTGTTCAAATTCGTAAATTTAGATTTGAATTTTGAACCAGGGTTACTTGCAGATAGTGGTATCATTGTTGACGAAGGCAATGACACGATTGATTTGCGAACACTTTTTCAAAGATGGTCTGCTATTGAAATGGACGAGAATGCTAGTTATTTTTGAATATGATTTTTGTGAGAGGTAGCTTAGTAACATATTATAATAAAAAAAAAGTTAATATAAATCAAATAAAATTTCTCCTTTAAACTATTCCTATATTGGTTTGTAAAAAAATTTAATAAGGAAATTTGAGTGAAGTTCCTTATTCATCATAAATACAGCTGACGTAATACTATGTTTCACAAATTTTTTAATATTTTTTTTTTAAAAAAAAAATCTCGGTGGTTTGTTTGATTTTTAAACCGACGTTTGAGTATTCTTTTTTACGTTTCTATAAACGGCCATAATGGGGCAGAATATGTCTTCATTTGCCGAAATATCTCCCAAATCATTAATTTCTTCAAAGAAGCGATCGGCTGTACTTATTATTAGTGTTGCGGCTGTATATTTAATCAAGCAATATGTCGAACAAGAGAAAAAGAAACAGTCCGAACGTGCCGCAGCGCGTGCTGCAGAAGGCCAAGATAACAGAAATAGAAAACAAAAAAGAATCGGTGTAGACGCGCGTTTCTTAGCGCAGATCAAAAAATTATTGCCAATTTGTATACCAGGTAAGTTGTTGTTCTAACCTTTGTCTTTTCAGCAATTTCCGCGTTCATTTTTTATATATTCGACTTTTATTAGGAGTCGCCAGTAAGGAAGCCGCTCTGCTTATAAGCTTAGCTATGGTATTAATAGCTCGCACATGGCTTGATATATGGTAAATATCAGATTAGCAATCTATCAATAAAAAAAAGCGTGTATAACTATTAAAATTTATTTTGTCAGTTATATTGACAAAAATTGTCACCTAATAATATGCAATGAACTTATAAGAATGACTAATAAATTATTTATCTTCATAATTAATTATAATTTTTATTTATTTGCTACATTTTATAGGTTTTCTGGATTTAACGGGTGTGTCATTAAGTGATGTTGTATTAGTTTTTTGTTTTAGTCGCACTCACAGTACTCGGTTCTAAAATTTATACAGACATGTTGTTAAAGCGATTGTATCTCGCGATCGGAAAACTTTTATCGCTCGAGCCGTTGTGGAATTTGGATTTATGATGGTATTTCACTTTGTTAACTTTTTTTTTTATTTTTCACGCGTCTATTATTTCTATTTATATAGTCAATTATGTTAATTATAATAGTGGCCAATGAGTATAGTGAATAATTCATTGAAACTTACTATAAGCGCGTTGTCTTTAGCGTTCCGAACTAGGCTTACAAGGGTAAATTTATTTGTTATTTAATTTTTACGATTTAAATTAAAATAAACTTTTCTTTTCTTACAGTATGCTCACGAACAATATTTAAAAGATATTACTTTCTACAAAATATCGAATATCGATAACCGAATCCAGAATTCGGATCAATTGCTGACACAGGTATAAACTCGATTACTTTCGGTTTATCATATTAAAAACCTGCAAGATGGTTAAGCTTCCTTCTTTTGATTAGGACATTGATAAATTCGCAGAAAATCTAAGTCATTTATATTCGGATATTACCAAGCCCCTAGTAGACATAGTTTTGTTTGCATATAAACTGGGTGAAGCCATGTATGAACTATAATTTTCAATTCATTTTTTATCCATGTTTTTGTTAAAAAAAAAAAAAAGAAAGAAAGAAAAAATGACAAATTATTCATATAAATTCCAAAACGTATACGTGTAACGCGTTTTAGTGGTCGAGAAGGTAATCTAATTAATGAGCTATATTCTTTCAGTTAAATTATGTATTCATTCTATTTTGTTTCTTATTATTTAGCTCCGATTTATATGATCGTGTACTTCCTTACTTCCGGTGCTCTTTTACGTGCAATTTCACCACCTTTCGGAAAATGTAAGGTATTTCCATTTTTTTTTAGAAATTTTTTTTTGTGACTAAATTCCTTCTCTCCGAATTTTATACAGTTACCGCTATAGAACAAAAACTTGAAGGTGATTTTAGGTTCACACATGTAATAATAAATTTTTTTTTCCTTCGGATTATAGGATTCATTGATTCTTCGATATTCACTTTATTATTCATTTTCTAGTCGAGAATTATCACTCACTCTGAAGAAATTGCCTTTTATGGCGGTGGTGAACGAGAGCGAACTGTTGTAAATGGAAGTTTTGATAAGATTGTGCGACACGTGAAAAAAATATATCGACTTCGGTTCGCTAATGGAATTTTCGATTCAGTATTGGTTAAATATTGTGCCACTATGACAGCGTACTAGTATGTTATCTACTATTTTATATTACTTATTACTTTTGAAATCACAAAATTATATAATCCTTTTTAGCTTGCTGGCACGCCCTGTATTTAACCCGCAATATGGTATGTTTAAGTAAATATTTCATCATGTTTTAATATAAAATTATAAAATATAATCTGTTTATCTTTAAAGCCACTGAATATATGGGCAAACTCGATTCCGACCCAACGAAGATTATGGAAGATTATTCAAGAAATTGTAAGTAACATTGATTTATTTATTTTAACATTGTAATGTAGATTAACTCTTTTTTTTTTATTTAGCTGGTTATCTTGTAAATTTATCACAAGCTGTGGGTAGATTAATTCTTGCTGGACGTGATTTGACCAGATTTGCGGGATATACTGTATGTCTACTTTTCTCTTTCTCAATTATTCTAGATATTTATTAATCAAATTATTCTCTATTTAAATAGTCGCGTGTTGCAGAACTTTTTGATGTTCTTGAGGATGTTAATAAAGGGCGATATGAACGTACAATGATAAACAATGACTCAAATGAAGCTAATATCAGCCGAGGTAATAAAACGCTTTGATTTTATAATTTGTGATTATTCAAGTATCCGTAATTTATTTGCATATTTCTCTGTGAACCATAGCGGTTACACCGAACGATCTCAAAGGAAAAATTATAACAAAAGATGGAGTCATTATTTTTGAAAAAGTTCCTATTGTTACACCAAATAATGACATATTGGTAAATGCCATTCCTTTATCTATATTTGTTCGTTGCAAATTGCTTATAGTTCGATAATTATAGGTGAAAGAGTTATCTTTCGAAGTTGAAACGGGAATGAACTGCCTTATTTCCGGACCTAATGGATGCGTATGTATACTTTCTTAACTATTACTTTACTTTAGCATATCGGAGAAGTCCCGTACAATTAATTTCTTTTAAATTAGGGAAAAAGTTCTCTTTTCCGTATTCTTGGTGATTTATGGCCCTTATTTGGTATGTTATTATTTTGTTTAAATTTCTATTTAGATTCATAATATAAACTAAGATAAATCCTAATTTATAGATGGTGTTGTTACTAAGCCAACAGCATCAAAATTGTTTTACGTACCTCAAAAACCGTACTTGGCGCTTGGCACGCTCCGTGATCAGGTATGAAATAGATTATTATTAGTTCTCGTTTATTTTACATAATTATTTTTGTTGAATATATATTCTTTAATTAGGTTATCTATCCAGATACGAAAGCTCAAGCACGTTTCAAGGAGTTTGATGATGGCAAATTAATGGAATTACTTAATGTCGTTCATTTAGAATATTTGGTGAAGCGTGATGGAGGCTGGGATGCAGTTCAAGATTGGGCTGATGTTTTGTCGGGTGGGGAAAAACAGGTGAATAAATTTGAACATTGTATATTAATCGAGATTTGATTAACCTTTTTCATTTAACTTTAGAGAATAGCCATGGCTAGACTTTTTTACCACCGTCCTCAATTTGTAAGAAATTTCCTTTTGATATTACTTGATTTACGAATTACGAATTATTGACTATAATTTTCAATAGGCAATTTTAGACGAATGTACTAGTGCAGTAAGTGTTGATGTTGAGGGTATTATGTACACCCATGCTCGTACTTTAGGCATTACATTATTTACTGTATCTCATAGGCATTCATTGGTAATAATTTTTTTTTTTTTTTAATTATTTCGTTACATTTTTCCTTGGATATTCATTGCTAATTAATTTAACTTTTTGATTATTGTGCTTTTATGCTTTAATTTTATTATAGTGTGAGTGTACTACAAGTTTTTATGTTGCCTTTTTTTTTGTTTTTGTTGAGATATATATAGTTTTAATATTTACTTTTAAACAAATTAGTTAAATATCACGAATGGTTGCTTCGTTTTGATGGAGAAGGAGGTTACGAGTTTAGAAAGTAAGTATCTTCTTTATCGATATTTATGTTATTTAATATATTTTTATTTTTATACCAATTAAACATTATACATATTTATAGACTTGAAGAAAGCGATTTAACAACACCATTTACCTCACATGGTAAAACCGGTAAAGCTAGTAAAAAGAAATTTGAGCTTGGACAAGATGATGAGGGTGAAGAAGCTGATAACGAAAAGAATAGCTCTTCTAGTAGCAATAATTCAGATTGAACTTTTAGCCGAAAATGACACTAATTTAATATTCATGATATTATTTATGGTCTTCACAAAATAATCTTTATAATAGATGCATCTCGGATTAATGTATTTGTTAGTTGTAGCAGGATTAATTATTTATTTTTCATTATATATATATATATATATGTGTAGAAATCATTAAAAAAACATTTTTATTACACTAAAAACAAAATGACGATTATTTAGTAATCTGAAAGCATTTAATTTTTTATTATATATATAGAGAACCTATAATTTCAAATTTAAGAGTTTTTATAGAGTTTTATCTTTTAAGCAGATATGTAGGAACTTTGTATTTTTTTTCTATTATTTGTGACGCATTAATTTGATATTGTAAAGAAATTCTTTTTTAATATGCATATAAATAAAATGAACTATAAATTAATTACAAATAATCGATATTTCTGTTAAAAAAAATCAAAAATGTCTAATAAATTATGATATTCCACTTACAAATAAGGCGAAAACGAATGTAAATAAATTTCTATATTGCAGAGTTTCATGATATGCAAAATGGTTTGATCATATAATCCAACGTTAAGAAATCAAATTGTAGTCCACAAAAATAAATAATATTATAAAATGATAAAATGATATTAAAATGAAAGTAATCCCGTGCTAGATTTGAATTGTCTAACAGTTATAAGGATCATACTCAACTCGAATGAAGCTATAATATTGACGTGTCATTCGATTGTGAATACTACGGAAAAATGAATTTATAAATTAGAAATTAGAATTGGAAGTCTAAATGTAGAATCATGTATTAATTATACCTTTTCTTTACAATGGTAATGAACAACAACACCGTTAGGAAAAACGGCAAATACACTAAAAAATAAATTTAGTAATCATAATGGTTAGATGTAACAAGATGATGATTATAATAGCAGACAAAACCGCATACCTTTGCCCAATACGACGCGTACATTGTGGACACATCTTATCTTCATCGATTTTAACTCTCCGAGATCGATAAAACATTAATTGTTCTTCAACCTAGATTTTTATATCAAAACGTAATTAATTTTGTATCTCACAATTGGTATAATTTAATTTATTGGCCAATTTTATAATGCCTAATAAGAGTTGGCCAGCATTAGTCATCTGATATGCGGAATATTTAAGCTATTAGCAGACTAATCTAAATATTGGTTTGGGACCAGAAATTTGGTATATTTCGCTAGTTTGCATAGATTTATTTACCTGGCGTTGATCAGCTTTCAATAAATTCTTAATAATCATATTCATATTCCTATTCTTATTGTTCTCCCTGATATATTTTTCGACAAATTGATACAATTCCGATACTTTAGTTGTGAGAGGAAGCATATTCAAAGCCTATATAATGACAAAGTTTACAATCATAAAATTCCATATAATAATGAATTATTAGGAAAGTTAACTTACATCAGAAGCACTAACAAATGAACCATGCCGCGATAACAATCGTATTGCTGGTTCTAACATTAATTTTTCGCCATTACTTGGTCGTAGATATACTTTCAGTAACGATATGAATACGTTTTTCGTAGGATCGTCAGTTTCAATGTAATTCTTCACACAATATCTATTACACATAAATAAATATATTTAGATAACGATAAATGGTTCTTTTTTAAAAAATATGAGTATTAAGTTCTATATATACTCTTCTGCCAACTTTTCGTTCTTTAACTTGTGCACATAAATATTTAAAGCCTGGTCATGTTGGCCGAGACGACTAAGAAGAATCGCACGAGCTTCATAAAAGTCTAAGTAGTGCATAAAAATGTTTGATTTAGTTTGAATTCTTTTAGTTTAATGACACAAATATTACAAAATGGTGTACCATCTAAACGTAAACGGCCTAATATTTTTTCTGCTTTATAATGCATTGATTCATCCAAAAATTTCAATAATCTTTTATTTGTATCTTCGATTTCCTCTAATATAGAATAAAAAAAAAGAAACGTTACATATATTTAAACTTAATGAAATATTAGAAAGAAATTTTTAATTAATTACCTCCTACTTCTTCTGAATTCGATTCTGATTTTTGCGATTCTAATTTTTGAACATTGGCCAGGTATTTAAATATCAATTTATTGTGAAAGTCTGGAGTCGGATCTTTAAGTACATAAATGATATGTTCTAAATATTTTATGCATAAATCGTATGAAAATCCCTCAAGATATTCTAATACTTTATTCCTCGGAAGATTATCAACCTCTGGATGATCACCAATAAATATCTAAATAGTCAATAATTAGTAAATTTATTTCTTAGTAAATTTTATAAAAAAAAAAGGACAAACTCACTTCCATCCCTTCATCAGGATTGGTTTGCAACACCCATGTTGCAAATTCTAAAATTAAATCAAAATTTTCTGGTCCAAGCTTTTGAAGATAATACCCGGTCTGAAAGGTCCCTTTCATTAAGCCTTCTGAAGATTGTCCAAGTCTAAAAAAAATTTAGTTGTATGAGTAATATTATAACACATTAAGTGCTTTAAAACAATAACTAACTTTTTTAAAAGTTCCAGAGATTTGCGATGTAAGCCTTTTCCATGATACAAGTCTTTTAATTCTCTGTATTTCTAAATAATCAAGTTATCTATTATTACTCGAATAAAATAACACTAATTTTTCATATATATACATACTTTGCGCTCTAATAACAGTCCTTCTACTTCCTCAACATTACAATAATTATGTACCCGAAGAAGTGGACCAACCAATGCATCATTAATGACCATATAAGATTTTAAAAGAGTGGTGTCCACCAATTCTGCAAGCTCCAAAGTACCACTCAAATTCCCATTTACTAAATTAGTTCGGTGCGAAGGCGAAGCTGGCGGTGTTGGTTCGTTAGTTTTATGAGGCTGCTGAATTAGAATTTTAGATATTCTATGACGCCGATCAGTCAAAAATTTTATTAATGTTTGAACCGCTTCTTCCAACAGCTTCCCCTCTAAATGATTTAAGTAGTTAAAATACTGAAATAAGAAAATTTTAAAAAATATCTTTTTAAATGAATACCAAGAATTTCCAAATTTTCGGTTTCTATCTCATCCTCCGAAGATTTTTCTTCTTGATCATTATTAATTTCATCATCAACTATTTCATCTGAAGGTTTTAAAACTTTCGGACGTTGTACAGGCTTGTGGAGAGCTCCTGATATCGATGGGGGATACAATGCAATAACTTCTTTAGGGTCCACGTCTAATTCTTGAAAAATTGTAATAGCATCATCAAACTTATTCTGATGGAAAAGATAATGTGCGTAAAGTCTACGTGTCTCTCGAATTTTTGCGTCCTATATAAATGACAAATGACATTAGTTTAATCATTATAATAACATCACAATCATTTAGATATAATTACCTTATCTTTAAGCAAAGTAGGTTCAATTTTAGCTAAACTTAAAGCTTCATCAAATTCATTTTGTTCAACCAATTGATCGATCTTATGAGTATAAATTAAAAAAGATTAAACACAATAACGAACATACTCCAATACTTTGTTTAACATAACCATCCCCCCGTGTGGCTGCGTACATCATTCAAATCTCAACCAATCAATGACTTCTCTCCTATATGTCATGTTAAACAAAGTATTGAATTTATGTTGACTAATAAAATAATTTATAATCTAAAGTAGTCTCCATTTCTTATACCTGTTTTTCGAAATTCAAAGGAATAAATCTCCAAACATTACTAATACTAGCAACATACAAATATTTTCCTTGGTTAATTAATCGTGCTTGAGGAAGGTCAAAAGTCTGGACCAACTTCTGAGTTACAATGTTTCTGACTTCCACATGTTTCGGTAATATCGCAATAAGATACGGATAAGAACATCCTTTAATTATAAGAAGAGTGAGCGCTTAATAATATGGATACAACAATTTACGTTTTAATTTCGCACCTATTTCTTCTGGAGTTCCTGTCCAGTCAATTCCTGTTTTCCGAGTAGTAATTCCATCAAGTCCAGTGAAAATGCTCATATCTATTTTAGTAAATGTTCATACTCAAAATTAAATGTCAATTTATAGCTAAAGATCACAAAAAAACTAATAATATTTCTCGATATCAATAAAAAATATGATACCCACTATCTTTAACCAGAAGAATTTCACCTTGAGGTAATTTTGTCACTAACGGCTTGTTGGCCTTAGCACCAATTGACATTCCCATATATGCAAATGAAGCACCTCCAGGTGTATTATGTGAAGCAAACAGCTCAGTCATCACACCGGAATTAACGTCTATCAAGACGTATTCATTCGTTAACCCAAGACAAACTTTATCACCATTAACCCAAACCATTGTTTTAATTCTATCTGGAATTGAAAGTTCCTGAATGTTATAGTTTAGGAGTTGTAATAGAGAGACAAGTTAATTATAGATAAGTCAAAAAGAGAAAGAAGGTTTACTCACCTGAGTACAAATGAATTCTGTATCTCGCCATGTAAAAACAAGCAATTTTTTTCTTACACCAACTGCTATCATTGGAATCCCTTCATTATCTTCGCTAATTTCTACATTGGTATCAATAGCAAATATATTTGCACCACGTGTTTTTGTTAATTGCCTTTGTAACTCAAAGGTTTGCAGATCATAGATATTCACGTATCCATCTTGTAAAGTTTTAAACATAAATGGTGGTTAATTAATGAATAATAATAATGTAATTTCGATTAAATAATATAATATTAATTATAATAAAATACCAGAAAGCGATATCAACACTTCAATATCTTTAATAATATCCAATTGTTCAATGGGCTTTTTGAAAAAATTCTTAGTTTCCTTTAAGTCTACTTTCACCTCTTCATCCTCTATTATATAGAGGAAAGTAAATCTCCTTTCAATTTCAAGTTTGGCTGAAAAATAATAAAATAGAACGTACCTATGGGCTCATTAACTTCGTAAACATACAAGGCGCCTGAAGCGGTTCCCGTAAATAACTTTTGACCTGGATTTTTATCTTAAAAGTAAGCATTCGGTTCAACTTATAAACTTTAACAACAAAGAAAAGCATTAAACAAACCACAAGCGAAAATCGATTCTATTTTATAGGGTACTTTATCTAACGCTAAAAAAACATTGAAAGCATCGTGCATTTTTGATAAATTAATGAAAGGAATGGTCCTTAAACTAGGAAGGTATTATTCAAAGATGTCATCCAAAGAATCTGATCTTAATAGATTAATACGCCATACGCCATTCATTTGTGTAACTATTGTAACTATTTTAACCAATCATAATTTGTGAATTAGTTAGAAACGAAATGATAAAAGAAATTGGTAGGTATTTCATAGAACTCTGTTTTTATGAATTTTTAACCTAAAATAATGATACAAAATATTGATAATGCTACTATGTCTAAATATTGTATAGGTACTTAGCGTAAATCTTAATGTATATTCTGGGCAGAATTATGGCATTAATGGAACTTTGGCCGGCATCAGAAAATAAATGGGACGTACGTCTGGAATGTGTGCCAGGTTGGTGGTGCAGTAATTTATGAGTTATAAACAACCAAGTTTTATTTCTTAAAAAAGCTTTTGAAGATTCTTCTGTAGGCACATTTTTAACTGTTCTACAAGTTTACTTAAAGGCCAGAAGGCATTCTTGACTTTACATATAAAAACTTAATAATTCTATCGTATCCAAAAAAGTATAAATTAATTTTACCCAAAACAAAATATTTTTAATTAAATAAGTCAAAAAATAGGCAAAAAACACATTTATTACCAGTTACACTATTTATTCTTTTTTAGAATATTTTTCTGTTCCAGTACTCACGCCATATGCGATGATAAGATAATCAGATAATAAGACGATTATGCTACGACAGCTACGTCAATTATCAATGAATCATTCTTGTTGATCAAAGAGTAAAAATGGTATAATTTATTATAGTTTTCTTTATTACCGATAACAAACATAAAATATGTAAGGATAATTGCCATTAACTATTCCATAGGTTTATGCTTTTATGCTATAACAAACTGTTAAAATTTTTGAACTTTCTTTTAAAATAGAAAATTATATTAAAATAAGGAAAAATTTTTATTTTTAAAATTATATTTAATTTTTTTCATTTCAGTATAATATAAAATTTAAGCATATTTTAAATATATTTTTAAATATATTTAATAAAAATACTTTTTATAGGTTATATATAATATTTAATATTTAGAATAAATGTATTTATAACAACTTGTTACATATTTTATTTATAACATCCTTTTTTTGTTTTTTTTAATAATAAATTTAGTATGTGCAAATTTTTGTATGCAAAATTTAATTTAGAGAACTTTACTTATAGACAAAATTTAGCAGTTTCTTAAAATTTTTTAAAAAAATTCTTGTCTTTAATCTTTTGTTTTTAAATTTTAATTGGATAAAATTGGAGTTATTACAAGTTATTACAATTAGATTTATTCTAATATTTAATAATAAAATTTTTTTTTAGCCAATCAAATTTCAATCAATATAGAGGTGAAGAGATTAAAACTACTAATTGAAAAACATTAGCTGATTTTTAGTATACTTCTAAATAAATTGCTTTTTTGTTTTAAAATTTAATTCTTATTCTTATAATCTGAATAAATTATTTTGTACTGAGTCAATTCTTTACCTTTATATCTTTTATAAAGTTTTTTATCTTTATAATAAAGTTATTTATATAACTAATTTTCAAAAATATATATTTTTTTTATCATAATTACATTTGTTGAATATTGCATTTTAGGTGATACTTTAAATAGATGCAATATTCTGTTTCTTACATTACTAATAAACTTTTCTATTATTCAACATTATAGTTACATTTTATTATATAATTATATTAATTAAATGTTCAAAACATTTTATTATTAAAATCTATTCTATATAGTCACAATTTATCTATAATTATTATTACATTTATTTTCAAAAATCTTATATTAAAAAGTATTATTTATAGTCATAGTTATATAAAAAATATAATAAATTGCACTACTATTATTTGATTTATCTCAGTAAGATAATTCTAACAAGTTGTATTGCATTTTTTTATAATTATTAATTACTAATTTAATAAAAAAAAATTTATTTTTCATCTGAATAATTTCTTATACTCCCTGAATTTAATATATAAAAATAATGTTATACTGATCATTTGCTAATTATTTTTTAAAAAAAGAAATAATGTAATTTTTAACAAAATAAATTTTTTTTTAAAATAAAACTTAATATAAGTTTCATACAACCTTTAAATAATAATTTATAGGTAATTTTAACTGCTTTACAAATTTACTTAATATTTTAAGAAAAATTATAAATACTATTTTTAATATTTTTAAACGATTTATGATTTAGAAATAAAAAATTTCAAATCTTACTTAGGATAAGGAATAAATTAATTTATTTAATAATATATATATATTTTTTAATAAATTATAATAAATACAGGTTGAAAAGTAAAAAATCAGATATCAATCAATTACCAATTAGTCACCAATCAGATACTTGATAGATAACTGATTAGTAACTGATGATTGGTGACTAATTAATATTTTTGTCAAATACCGTTTGACCCAGTAATCAGAAAAAGATGAAATATAGCTCATTGGAATCATCTTAATAAGACGAATCTAATGGCAGTAAAATTGCATTTTTAGGATTAATACTTAATTTCTTATCAACTTTTATCTAGAAATACAATTTCACTACCATTAGATTTGTCTTGTTAAAATGATTCCAATAAGCTATATTTTATCCTTTTTTAATTATTGAATCAAAAATTAGCAAACTGTTTGATTGGTAATAATATTTGGTAAAAATGCTAATTAATTACCAATCAGTCACCAATCAAATACTTAATTAGTAATCGATTGGTAAACTATTCTAGCGTTATCTCAAAAAAAGCATTGGTGATCAGTATTATGTAGAATTATGTACTGTCATGTAAACAGTGTAGTGATAAATAATATGTAAGTATGTAACAAATAAGTTTTTACTAATTTAAAAAAACTAAATTCCTCAGATAAATATAAATAATGAAAATACCAAGGATATAATGGATATGATAATTTTTATATGATTATATTATTAGTGTTTTTTTTTGAAATAATGCTAGGTTAAATCCAATTGGTAACTAATTAATGAGAACTCTGAATATCTTTTAAATAACTTAAAGGTAATATATACAGTCAACTCTCTTTATAGTCACACATTTGGGACAGTCCATATTTGGTGATTATAAAGAGATGTGACTATATAAAAAATTTCTTATATTTGTATATCATAATTCCTGCCAAAAATTAACATAATTTTAGCCAGAAAGATGTGTATAAGAGACAGCCATTCATTTGTGTAACTATTGTAACTATTTTAACCAATCATAATTTGTGAATTAGTTAGAAACGAAATGATAAAAGAAATTGGTAGGTATTTCATAGAACTCTGTTTTTATGAATTTTTAACCTAAAATAATGATACAAAATATTGATAATGCTACTATGTCTAAATATTGTATAGGTACTTAGCGTAAATCTTAATGTATATTCTGGGCAGAATTATGGCATTAATGGAACTTTGGCCGGCATCAGAAAATAAATGGGACGTACGTCTGGAATGTGTGCCAGGTTGGTGGTGCAGTAATTTATGAGTTATAAACAACCAAGTTTTATTTCTTAAAAAAGCTTTTGAAGATTCTTCTGTAGGCACATTTTTAACTGTTCTACAAGTTTACTTAAAGGCCAGAAGGCATTCTTGACTTTACATATAAAAACTTAATAATTCTATCGTATCCAAAAAAGTATAAATTAATTTTACCCAAAACAAAATATTTTTAATTAAATAAGTCAAAAAATAGGCAAAAAACACNCACCATTCGATTCGTCTCAGTGAGACGATTCTAACAAGCTATGATACATCTTTGTACGATTATTAGATGCCAAGTTATTTAATATATTCTTTATATAACTGTGATTATAAACGGTTCTTTTTAATATAAGATTTTTGAGGATAGGTGTGATAGTGACTATAGATAGATTGTGACTATATAGGATAAATTTTAATAATAAAGTGTTTTGAACATTCAACTGGTGTGACTATATAGTAGAATGTGACTATAACGGGAGTGACTATAGAGGGAGTTGACTGTAGTAAAATGCATTTTTAGCAATAACTTAATCAATGCTAAAAATGCGATTTTACTATGATTTGTCTCATTAAAACAAATCTAATAAGCCTAAATTTGTCAAAATCCAATTACTAGATCGCTTAAAAATGGGATATATAAAATAAGAAAATTTGAAAATACCTCTAAAATATGCAATTCTGACTAAAATTAACATATAAACTCTATACAAACTCTAATGTAGGTTGCATGAGAGATATTTAAAATCCTGATTGATACTTGATTTTTCACTTTTTGACCTGTAAAAATGCATTAAAAAATTTATTTATTATTAAAATGTAATAAAAAAAATGGAGATTAACTATATTTTTCACCTACTAATTATAGTTAACCCTTGTTATAACGAATCCTAAGGTTCAGATCTCAACTTTGCTATAAAGTTATAGTGAAAATTTTAAGAGATTTGATTGGTTAATTCATTATAGCGAGGGGAAATTTGTTATAGTTATCTAAAAAATTCACTATATTTATTAAGGGTTCGCTATATCAAAGTTTGACTGTATTTGGTCATTTTTTTAATAAAAGTTCAGTTACTGAAGAAAAAGCTTTAATTTTTTTCACTCAAGTAATTGTAAAATGCTTTTATCAGCTTTATTTATAAACTTTCTGAGAATTCTTTTAAAATTCAAATAAATTTTTAATTAGGATTCTATTTACTATTAAAATAAATTACTTTATAACATAAAGTATATATGAAGTTCAAAAGTCAAAATATTTCAACTTAGGAAAGTCAAAAGTTAAAATTAAAGTCAAAATAGTCAAAATTACAATGATCCTAGCATTACCATGTAAAAATGGTAGCTGGATTTGTTGCTAGATTACATATAATCTACATATATGATCCAGATGATTATTTTTGGTAATTATAAAACTTTTATTGATCTGATCGATTCTTTTATGCTACACATCACCTTTTTTTCTTATATGAAATATTTTTCTAAAAAATTGTTAACATATTATATCGACAATAAAATAAGGTTTGTAAAGGGTATTATTATATTAAAGAAAGTTGGGAATTTTTTAATAAAAAGAAATTATTTTGAAAAATGTTGCAAATACTAAAATAATATTATAAAATCACATTCAATAAAAAGAAAACAAACAATCTAACGTGATAATTAGTTATGCAGAATATAAGAAATCATAAATATTTCTTTAATCTCTTATAAATAATATCAATAAACTTTATAAAGGAAAAAATACTGAACTAAACATAAGTTTGAATAATTTAATTATGAAATTAGGCATTAAATAGTACTTCTTATATCAGAAGATGATGGTTATATATGGGTTTACATATTAAATTAGAAAAAG